CACGAAAGCACTGCAGGCGCTGATGGCGTGTATGAATGATTGGCTGTATATCTGGTTTGTGGTCCACATCGGGTCGTCAAATGCTACCCTTCCGTACACACTGTCCGACACTAAATGACCTGTCATTAAACGGGAATACAAATAATTTAAGCATTGAGTGCTAAATATAGCCAAAAAAATTTAATACTCAAAGCGAGGCTAATCTCCAGTGCCATCATCCGTATGGGTCGCATGTTTGCCGGTGTAGTGGCCGCCACATAGGCGTAGGCTATGCTCCACACCATAGACCCGGACACTATGTACGGCACGAATGAGATGGTGATCCATCGGACATCTGTGTTAAAGTCTGTGTTAAATGTAAGATTTAATACGACTATTCACATGCAATACAGTGTATTGAATGCACAATTAGATGGGACCGGTATGTGGTGCATATATGAGTGCGGTCCCCGTAAGACTAACCCGAGTCTAAAAGTGCTACATTCAAGAGACTGATGATCGCTTCCAAGCACTGGATGAACGAGCCCACGATGAATATGGCTTTCCTCCCGTTCCCGTACTCATCGGTCCAGTGGCCCAGGAATAGGGCCCATAATATGATGACCGGAATGTAGAGATTGTAACAGAAATATCGGCTCAGACTGTAGTTATTGACACAGAGTTTGTCCTGAAGTAACAGATCCAATGGTGTGCTCCGGATATTATAGCTAATTGTCATCAAAAATACAAACACTTCTACTTTCATAAGTGACATAAAAGTTATGCAACTTTTCAAACTTATTAATGTTTTGTAGGCAAACATGTTTAAAATAAATTTCTTAAACATTTGATAATCAAATTTAATTAAAAACATTACTGTTAAATGTTTGACTTAACGGTAAACACAAACTGATCATAAATGTGACCAAAAAATGAGACTAGTTTTGAAGTTTTTTAATACAGTTTTTCAGAGGACTCATTGCTAATGAATTACTAATTGATTATCAATGGAATATTTAATGTTTTATAATTTGTATTATTTGTAAAAGTAATTTTTTAGTTAACATGATAGACAAATGAAACACTAATAACCATAATGTGTGACAATTAATTGCTATAATAAAACAAAA